CTTCGTCTGCTATTCCGCGAACGTTTTCGTCGCATAGGAATCTTCTAGGTAAAAATAACAAAATATTGTGAATAACTTTGCTAAAATATCCGAATAACCACCCTGAACATGGCTCTTGTCAGCAGAAATCTTAGCTCAAGGACCAACCAAATAAAAAATAGCGAAATGTTGGATAATTTTTGTCTTTATTTTAATTGAAAATAAGCAAAGATACGAACATTAGAACGGCTCATGATCAGACATAAGAGACATTCATTGTTTTTTTATATTTAACGATATATATATATATATATGTATATATATATATATATATATATATATATATATATATATATATATAAGTTTATCTACAATTTCGAACAAAATGTATATCATTTTCGAAAATTGGTAAAATATAAAATATATAAAAAACATATATTATCAGTTGAATCTAATCAAACTTGTTTTTGAATATATCTGACATGCCTCTCTCAATCTCTCTCTCTCTCTCTCTATATATATATATATATATATATATATATATATATATATATATCAGAGTTTATCTACAATGTCAAAAATTGGAAAAGTATAAAATATATTTAAACAAACACAAGTTATCGGTTGAATTTAATCAAACATGTTTGGATTGAATACATGACATCCCTCTCTCTCTCTCTCCCTATATATATATATATATATATATATATATATATGTCTTTATCCAAACTTTCGATTGGAAAAAAAAAAAAAATTTAAACAGGCAGAAATTGTCGATTGAATTTAATCAAACTTGTTTGGACTATTTATATATATTTATCTCTCTGTCTCACTCTCTGTCTGTCTGTCTCTCTCTCTTTTTATATATATATATATATATATATATATATATATATATATATATATATATATATATATAAGTTTTGTTTAGGCAGCAAGAATTCTTTCAAAATTCCCTTGTAGAAATATATCAACAAATTCTATTTGTTTATATTTGTTGTTTTTTTTTATATGTTTTTTCGGCATATAATCTTGCTAATTTAATTAAGTATTTTCTTCTTTTTGTTTTCATCATCTTTGTTATTAAATATCTCACATTGTAATAACAGAAGATCTACCATGAATGGCGAAACTTTGTAAAAACCTGGACGCAAATTTACTGTGGCTGAACTAGTGATTAAAGCCATTTTGTCTTAGTGAATTCTTCTCTCTTTGGAAATAGAGTAGCATTTTTTAAGTCAAAATTCTGATCAATTGACAGATCACCTGTGATCACAATTCGGGATATTTAATAACAACGATGATGGAAACAAAAAAGAAAAAGAATCAAAATGAAATTGACTACATTATATACGCGAAAGACATATTAAAATAAAGAAATAATTTTTTAAATTTAAATTTCCCAGCGTCTCTCGTTCTTGGACTTGTGTAGTCGTAAACAAGCGTAGTCCGATGAGGTCCTAAAAGACAAAATGCGTCACACGAAACCATTTTACACTTTGTCATATATATTTCCTCTGAAGATATATATATATATATATATATATATATATATATATATATATACATTAATGCCTTTTTCATTAAATAATAAACAATTTTTGTCTATTTATTTTAAGTAAGTTCCTTTCATATTGTCTGATAAGCTTAATAACATTATCATTCAAAGACGAAAGGAAATCACCATATTGATACATGTTTAAATACAATCTAAGATTTCGGCTTACCGCAGCCATTATCGAAGATGACAATATATCAACATATTTTCAATATATAAGCCAATACACGGACGAAAAAATAATGTTTTTGTTGCATGAAAAATTTATATATGAGACGCGGAAGCGAAAATCGCGTAGCAGCTCGTGACTTTACACATGACCACGCAAGAGTGAAAATGAGAAGTATTAAGTATGGGAAGCCGCTGTGGAGATTTCGTAGTTCATTTTGTTCAGGTTAGGTATCAACTGTTTTATTATAAAGTTTCAAGAATTTTTAGTTTTTTTTATTGTTTTCATGTTTAAGTATAGTTGTGTTTTCCGGAATTGTGTGCGCGGCCAAGCAGGTTGTTTTAAATGAACTTATACAAAATAAAAATAAGTAAATAAATAAAAACAAATAAAAGTTAATAATTAATAATAAAATCCAAATAAATAAATAAATGAAAAAATTAACAAATCGTCCCCGCTAGAATAACCGTTAGAACTATTAAAAAGAAGCATAAATATGCAAAAACAAATAGAAATAAACAATCAAAATAAATAAATAAATAAATAAATTAAAAACTGTCCCCCGCCAAAATAACAGCATAGATTACGGTAAGCAATCTAAACATTGGCCGAATAAATACTTTTAATTATATTCCCAGACCAAAACAAATTATTAAATAAATGGCCTAAGCAATCCCCACCATTGTTTTTACGACGTGAATAAAACATCAAAAATCGAAAAGAATAAATAATACAAAATGAAAATGAAACAGGTAAAATAAATTAATCCAAACAAATAAATAAATAAACAAGCAAAAATAACCGCCAGAATAGATTACCCACATTGCAGCACTGACCCATATATATAAATAATCGAGGAAAAATTCAACATTCACGACCTGATGATTGCATCTAGCATGAAACAGCCTGTCACCTCTGAGTGTTGACTTCATATATATATATATATATATATATATAT